GCCCTCAGCCCGCGCCGCCGCCCGAGCCGCGTGCGCGCGCGGCCGCATCAGCTGAGCGCGCGGCGCGCGTCACGTGGTGCGCGTGTCGAAGGTCACGGCGCGCTCACAATGGAGCTCTCGGAGTATGTGCAGAAAGGCTTCCAGATGCTGGCCGATCCCGGCTCCTTCGACTCCAACGCCTTCACGCTTCTCCTCCGGGCGGCTTTCCAGAGCCTGCTGGACGCCCAGGCGGACGAGGCCGTGTTAGGTAAGCCGCTCGGCTCTGAGCTGGATCGGCCTGGGTGGCGGGGCGCTCGGAGAAGAGGAGCGAGCCCGAGCAGGAGGGGAAAGCCCCGGGAAGAGGAAGTCTCCGGGCTCTGCCCTTCGCTCCGGACGGAGTGTGGGGTTGTGGCTCTGCCTGCACCCGGAGCGGACCCTGAGCATTGTTCTGTCCCCACTTGGCACCTGCACACAGCCAGCTACACGTTCCCGGCCTGATTTCCCCTCCCAGTCTCTTTGTTCCTTTGTAAAGCCCGTGTTCAAGTCTTGTTTGTGGCCTAAAATTCTAAGATTTTCAGCCTTGTCTGAGGCAAAGGCTGTTTGACACTTGGACTTCATCAGGGGGGCTCCCTGCAAGGAAAGCTTTCAGTCGTGGGCTGGCAGAAGTTTTAGAGTCTGTTTCCAAAGTGTAATTACTAAGTTAAATAGTGTTGACATTTTCCAACTTAGAGAATACCCCAAGTTCCTGTGATCACTCCCACACTCTAGTTCAATATGTTTTGCATAGGTTCCATGCCTAGAACCTTAAAATATAGTACACAATGTTTTGTTCCGCACCAGTGACCAGGAGGCGAGTCTCCTTTAAGTGGTCCGGTCAGTGATTGCGGAGTGCGGTGTGAGTATGGATTGAAGGCATATTTTAAGACAGATCGCTTTTAGATAATTTTCTTAAATATAAATATCCCAACAATTCAAATTTTTGTTTTTTCTGTAGTTTCGTGAACTAAACACTTGTACAAAAAAAGTATGAAAGTGGAAGTTCTTTAAACGAAAATAGGAACCACCACCTGGGTTAATCTCAAAAAAAGGATGGCTGTCAAAACCTGAAAATATTTTGAAAATTGTATTTTATATTCTGAACTCGTGACCCCCCCCCATGTATTAATGTCCAAGGAGCCAGTTACCCTAAAATTAATCAATATTTGAGAGGGAAAGTTTATTCATTCTTAAATTTACACCATGTAAAGTATCTTCTTATTTTCCCCTGAATTTACTCCATCCATCGTTAGAATGACCACTGTATAGTTACTTTTTCTTTGGGACTATAATATTTTTTAAACAACAGTAAAAATGTTAAGGCAAAATAAGAGAAGGTAATTGAGACCAGGTAACAGCAGAATTATTGGTGTGTGCTCTTGATTGATTTGCCATTGACCTTGTTGCTTATCTCATTTACTTATAATTGCCAGTCCTTACAGTGGAATTCTTGTTGTTATCTTGTTAAAGGGAGTTTTTACCCAAATTAAAATATCCTTTTTAGAAATATGACTACAGAGAATTTATCATCACAGGCATCACTGGCAATTAATTTATTTTAGATCACCCAGACCTGAAACATATCGACCCAGTGGTTTTAAAACATTGTCATGCAGCAGCTGCAACTTACATACTGGAGGCAGGAAAGCAAAGAGCTGACAAATCAACTCTAAGGTACAGGATTTATTTAAATATCCATTTATTTTCAAATAGTTCCTTTATGATTCCAATTTCAGTTTTTAGAATGGAGACTAAACTTTGGCTTTTTTTTTCCTTTAGCACCTATCTAGAAGACTGTAAATTTGATAGAGAGCGAATAGAACTGTTTTGCACAGAATATCAGGTTACTTACTTAAAGTTTTTTTTTAATTAACAATTACTATTTTTCTTCTACTCTGTTTGCAAAGATGTATTTTCTTTCTTTCTTTTTTTCCCCCCCAGAATAATAAGAATTCCCTAGAAATCCTACTGGGAAGGTAGGTACTGTATAAGGTGTCAAGCTGAGCCACTTTTCAATTGCAGGTATGAATGGAAGTGCTAGTGTGAAACAAAACAGGGCAAAAAACAGGGATCTTGATGAAAAGAAAAGGGGCCAAAGGGCAAGTGAAACAATTGATGTTAAGTTAATGTTTTTAAAGGTAAAGTTTATTGAGATAATTTTTAAAATGCTCTTTTACTATTCAGAACTTGAAAATAAAGTTTAACAATGTTTTAAAATTCAGAATGGATTAAAATTGTGTATGGGAGGGAGGTGGAAGGTAGACACCATTCTTGGTAAAGATAAAAACTGAAAATTTTTCTGTAGATATTATGTACAACATTATCATTGTATCTTTCAGTATAGGCAGATCTCTCCCTCATATAACTGATGTTTCTTGGCATTTGGAATATCAGATAAAGGTAAAGTTTAACAAACTGCTCTCTAGGGGGATTTAGGGAACTTTTTAAAAAATAGAGTTAAAGACTGAAATGTATGTATTGTGTTATTTTAGACCAATCAACTTTATAAGATGTACAGACCTGCATATTTGGTGACCTTAAACGTAGAGGTATTTATATATAAGCCCTGTCTAAAAATTAAATATGTAATGAAATTTAAAATTTCCTTGATTTAAATAAACAGCATTTTTTTTCTTCCTTAGAACACTGATTCCCAATCCCACCCAGAGATTAGTTTTAGTTGCAGCATGGAACAATTACAGGTACAGTATTAGGATATGTGAATATGGCTATCTTTTTATAGAAGTTTAATTGAGAATTATGCTTATGGAAAGTTCAAAAGAAAAATAATCTAGCCATGTGTCAGTAGATAATGAAGGTTGATTAAGGATTTAATGGGAAGGGAGCTTCAAAAGCAATTTTAATGTAGGCTTCACTTTTGAAATTAAGATTTTACTAATAGAGAATTGATCTATATTTGCTGTTCCCTCCCATTAGAAACACTTCTCAAGTGTAGTGTTGATGTAAATTCCTTCTATTTGTGATGAGTTTGATCCAATAGGACAAAGCAAAATTAAGAGCATGTCTTTGAAAATGTCTTCTTTAGTTTCAGAAATTGAATTAAACTTTCAAAACAGGGTTTCCAAACAGTGGTTTTAAATGACTTTTTATAAAGGAGGGAGTATACATAAAATTCTGTAACTGTTTATATTGCCAATGTAAGACTGGGGACATTCCAAACTACATTGATTAATGGACATGACAACGAATTTATTTCTTACCACCTAAAAAAATGAAGATCATTACTTAAAATTTTGATGAAATTGGATTTTTCAAAAGGCATCTCCTGCAGAGTTGTTTTAATGTAACCATTAATCAAACTTTAAACTTTCAGAAAATGTGAACACAGCATAATCTTTGTTAGATAACTTGAGAAATTTAATTTGATACCCCTTGCCTGTTTAAGAGGGTTCGGTTAGAAATCATATTTCAAGTCTGAGGGCAAGTAGCCCATTTGAAGGTGAGATATTCTAGAGGAAAAGCTTCTTTTGACCAATAGTGGTTTGTCAAAGGTTAAAATCCTCGTGAATTTTAATCTTGTTTAGAAAGTGCCTCCCGACTTTTTTCTTGCATCTTTCTCAAACTGGGCTACTTCTTTCTTGTGTTTTATCCTAAAAACGTGGCATTATATACGTCTTTTAGGACTTAGTGGGGAAACTTAAAGATGCTTCGAAAAGCCTGGAAAGAGCAACTCAGTTGTAACTTGGGGAAGTTAACGCTCCGCCCGGGTCCAGAGGAAGACCAGGAACACCTTGCCATCGTCCGAACAATCGTTGATGCGAGCTGGATGTCCTCCTTTTCAGTAGACAACCTTTTTCCTTTTGGACTTACGCCACTCATCAGTTTTGACACTTTATTTTTTTGCACTTGTGAAAGGGTTGAGGGAAATTCTAAGTATTTGACTCATCTTTAGTATTAACTGCACATTGATCTCATTTTGATCTTTTTCAAGTCTAACAAAAGGAAGTAGACGGTATTACACTGTGAATAAATAAGTTGTTCCCACAAAAAGAGTGGTGAGAGTGTGTTTGGATTTGAGTTTGTGTGTTAATTATTACTTTGAAGACGTAGATACAATTAGCGTTAACTTTTAACAATCGCCTTTTCTCTGGATTAAAGTTAAACACGGGGAAAGGAGGCGATCTCGGGGTTTGTGGAAGACTCCGGCTTCGGGACTTGGGGAGGGAGCGCGGTGACCCCGCGGCGGGAGCCGGCCCGTCCCGTTACCTGCGCCCGAGGGCTCGCCCGCAGCCGGACCCTCGCCGCGGGGCCCCGAGGCCCG